TCCGAACACTAATCCATCTGATATGTAGTCTTAGATTATTTTTATATTGCTATATTAGTTATATTTTATATCTATTATGATTTTTATATTATTATTTTGTTCATCCTTATTATATTTTTCTATTATTATCTTTTATACTTATCTATCAATTTATTTAAAATTATATTTTATAGTTGATTATATTTTATATTTATTATATTTTCTATGAAAAAAAAAAAAAAAAAAAAAAAAATTATATATAAGAAGATTCAAATATTATTTAAGACAATACTATAGTTAAAAAAAAAAAACTAAAAAGCTTAATTAGAAATAAAAATAGTTAAATATAAAGTAATATATTACTAAAAGCTAAAAATAAAATAATAATAAAATAATAATAAATAGTAATAAAAAAATAATAAAAAGAAAATAGTAATAAAATATAATAAAAATAATAGTAAAAATAATAATAAAAAAATAATAAAAATAGTAATAAACAGATAATAATTAAAACATAATAAAAATAATAATAAAAATAATAATAAACAATGAATAATAAAAATAATAAATATAATAAAAATAATAATAAAAATAATAATAAAAATAATAACAAAAATAATAATAAAAATAAAATAATAAATAATATTTTTAAGACTTTATTAATAGAAAAAAAAGAAATATTATTTAGATTTTTATTTTATTTTAATTAAAAGCTTTTTAGTTATTTCTATTATTTTTATTTTATTAATAATTATAGCTAATATTTTTATAAATAATTTTATTTCTTTTTTTTATATATTAAATAATTAATATTAAAATTTCTAAATATTTAATTACTAATTTTAACTAATTTTAAGCTTTATAATAAACTAATAATAATATTAAAAATTAAATTAATATCTAAATTAATATTAAATTTATATTTTCTATTAAATTTATAATAATAAATATACTAATTAGATAAATATAATTAAATATTATATTTTTATTTAGTTTAGTTAATATAAATAAGCTAGAAATTTATTTTAATAATTTTACTAATTATTTTATTATTTTTATTAGAAATTATATATTTATAATATAATATTTTAAAATATTATATTATAAAGCTTTATTTTTAAAATCTTTATTTATAATTCTTGTTTTTTTTATAGAAATTAAATTATAATATCTATATTATTAATTTAGCTATTTATTTATTAGTAAACTCTAAAATATATTAAAAGAAATAAGCTATAATATTAATATAAAATATTATAAATAATATTAGAAATATAATTAATTATTTAAATAATTTATATTTAATTTAAGAAATAATATTAGCTTTAATTATTTTATTATTATTAATATTTTTTATATTTCTAATAAGTTTATATTTAATATTAAGCTAACTAATAGCTTTAAAATATTAGAATAATATATATCTAAAATATATTTAAATAATATTAAATTAATAATTATTTAGGTTTTTTTAATTAGATTATAATAAATATTAGAAAATAGTTTATTAATAAGAAATTTATTTAGCTTATAAATATTATAGAAACTAAAATTAAGATTATTTCTATAAAAGCTTATAACTTTATTAGAATTATAAAATATTATTATAGCCTAATTTAATATATCTATTTTATTATTATAGCCGAAATTAATAAAAATATTATATTTTAAATAGCTTTTAAGGCTATTAATAACTTTATAAAATTTAATAATATTATTTTAATTTTTTTAGTTTATAATATTTTATTTTAAATAATTAAATATAATACTTTATTATTTATTATATTATAATAATTAGTAATATTTAAAAATAATAATAATAGAAATCTAGAAGCTTTAAACTAAATATTAAATTATAAATATTTTAACTATTTAAAATAATTCTAGTATTATTAATATTTATAAACTATTTCTAAATTCTAATATTTTTATTTAATATAAAAGAAATATAAATTATATAAATTAGTAATTATTAATAAAAAGAACTATATATTAGTTTTATTATATAATAATATTATCTTTTATTTAATTTTTATAAAATCTTTTTATATAAGAGATATTATAGTTATTATTAATAGTTCTAAATCTAAACTTATTTCTAAATTTTATAATAAAACTAAAAATAATATAAATATGATTTCTTTTATTATTTCTATTATTTTATTAAAATATAATAAAGAATACTTTTAAAAAATTCCCGATATTATAGTATTTCTATAAAATAATAAACTATATAAGAATTCCTATTAAATTAAAATTATTAGTTTTCTGGAAAAAAAAATATTTAAAAATATTTTTAGATTTTAAATATTAAAATATTTTTTTTAATTCCCGGTTTATTAATAAAATTAAAATTAAAAATACAAAAAAAGAGCTTAAAAAATTAAAACCAGTTATTTAAATTTAAAATAATAATAAAAAATATATAATATTAATATAATTATTTATTATTTAATATATTAGTTAAAAAATTATTTTTAGTATTATTATTATATCATATAACTAAGTACTACGGTTTGGGCCACTGAATTCGGCTAGTTTAGTCACTGTTTTATATAGCCTCGACCGCTTGCTAAGCTCTGCCAGTAGCATACGTGCCTCGGTTCGCTTAGCGCGACGACTCCCCGAAAACCGCATTCCCCCTCTCCCAAATTACTAGTTCCCATCTTTCATTATCCTGACCACCCAGAATTCCTCAATCCAGGAGCCAGAAACGGCTCCCTATTAGTTATAGCAGGCCCCGTCTGTCTCTGTCTTAAGGCTGCTCCCGGCTATATAAGTCTTATAGTTTCCGCCTACCATTAACCTCTAGTAACTATCGTATCTCCTTTACATACTCTTTTCCACACTATTCCCTCTTCACCTTCTCTCTCTCAGAGCCCTCGAATTCTCGACAAGTCCTATAGCCTTAGCTATAATCCCCTCGTCTGCAAAGGCCCTCGAAGTTCGCTATCTCTCAAATATCCTCTATATCTCTACTACTACCATATAACTCAGTTCTTTTACCTTATCCTCCTTTACCCACCTTCTTCTAACTCTCTATAGTTCCGGCATTCTCCCTACCTTCGCCATTAACTATAATCCCCTCCTCTTCAAAGCACTTCATACCTCAATTCTTTATATAACTATTAATTCTATATACGAACTCTGGACTCTATATATAACTCTATATATAACCGTTAATTCTTTATATACTTATTAACTTATAAACTTAATTAACTATTATATTATTAGGCTATATTAATACTATAATAGATATCTCTGCCTTCTTATAACTTATTATCCTATAACTAAAGCAGCCCTGGAATTAGTATAGTTCAAATAATATAAGAAAGTATAAAATAAGATTAATTACTTATAATATTAAGTATCTTGTCTTAGTAAGCTATATTAATACTATAATAGATATTTCTGCTTTCTTATAAATTACTATCCTATACTCGAAGTAGCTATAGGATTAAAATAGTACTAGTAATATAAAATAGTAGAAGTCGGAATTAATTACCTTTAATAATAAGTATAGTTCTTATTTAATAATACTATTATTTATATCTTATATTATTATAACTTTATTACTATTATATCCTAACTTTAAAAGCTTTCTTTTTCCTTTCTCGCTTTTAGTAGCGGATATCCTTATTACTATTAAGACTTCTTGGGCCTATATAGAATTATAGCTTTTATTATTCAAGTATTAATAGTATATACTTTTAATATTCTTAAGAATATTCTCAAAAAACGCACTAATACTAATTAAATATTAAAGTAAAAAGAAAGGCAAATATTAAATAAAGAAGATTATAATTAGATAGAGATTAATTTAAATAATAAACCGTTTTTATAACTAGTAAATACCGAGAATACTAAGGCTAGTATTTACTATATTAGATAGAAATAAATAAAGTATACTTATAAAACTTAAATCTTAGTAATTTAATTAGGTTAGGCTAACTCGAGACAGGTTTTATAAATATTATAAATTCGGGAATTAGTATACTATTTTTCTCAAGCGGAATTATAATAAGAAAAGAATAATATTCTTTCTTTATTAGGTTTATATAAACTATCTAGAGAAGAAGTAAAAGAAGAAAGAAATAAAGTTATTTTATATATACTAGCGGGATTTTAAGATACTTTATTACTAACTAAATAGTAATTATATTAATATAAATAATAAATATAAGATTATTAAGATATAATAACCCTTCTCTAATATTCTTCTAATTATATACTAATCTATAATTAAAATATATTAATAGTATACTTAAGATTAAATTTAAGCTAAATATTACTTCTAAACCCAAGCCTATAGCCAGACCAGACGACCTGCTTCTTATATTTATCTAGTACTAGGCTCGTAATAAATCCGTCTTTTTTACTAAAGATAATTATTATAATATTTCAAGCCTATATAGGCAGTTAATTAGTAGAGTTTATTTACTTATTAAAGAGTAAAGCTAGTAAAAACTCCTTTAGTAAAAGAGAAAAGACTAATAAAAGTATATATTTTTAAAAGGCAATATATTATAATTATAATAATAATAATACTAATAATAGGCTCGAGTATAATAATAATAGTAATACTAGTAATAATACTAGATTTAATAATAATATTCTCTTTAATTCTAAGGATAATAAAAGTAATAATAGTACTATTAATAAAGATAAGAATAGGCCCGGCTACTTGAATAATAGCTATAATAATAAAGAGACAGATATTATTATAATAGAAAATACAAACAAGTATTATATAACTAAGCTTAATAGATATAAATAGCCTCTATATCCGATCTCGGATTCTGCTAAATCTAGTAAGTTCGAGAAGGTAAAGCAGAAGTATATAATACTTTATTATAAGAATATTTATTTCTGAATTATATAAAACCCGAAGTAAGAAAAAAGGAACTTTCTAGCTATAGAGATCTACTTACGGAACTATAAGAAAGTAAATAATAAGCCCAAATCATATATTACTCTTATAAGATACCTTAATTCTTAGCTAATTTAATTCTTATAATATAACCTTCCTTTTTAGAAAGAATTCCCTTCCTATCCTCTACCTAATTTCCTATATCTTAACCTATATAATCCGTAATAATATAATTCTTATTAATAGCTATATGTCTCCCGAGCCCTTTTTTACTATAAACCTAAGAAATCAGAATATAAAGGTAATAAAGATCTATTAGAAGCCGGAATGGCTTAAGTAGCCGGTCTTTCAAAAGTCGGTCTGAACTATAAGTAGCTAGATAAAATTAAAGACTAAACTTATAATATATTCGAAATATATCTTTTATCTAAATTGCCTCGGGCGAAATACGGGCTTTAAAGACAAACTAATAAGCTACTATTTCCGTTAAGGTTATACTAATATAATTAATAGTATATATCTATAATAGGTATATGTAATAGTATATAGATAGGTATTAGATATTATAGATCTAGTTTCCTATTTTGGGTATAGCTTGTAATTAGAATTATATAGATTATATGGGATTTCCTAATTAAGTAAAGGGCTTCGCATGCCTGGCTAAGTACTAGGGAATATATAGGAAGATACTTCTAGCTCTAGAAGAGGTATTAATTAGTCTCTTATTAGAATTAATTCTTGGAATTAGTTATATTTATAAGTATTACTTCGTAGCTTACTTACCTTAACTACTTATATATTACCCTGCTATTACGTGTCTTATATTTTAATTAATCTAATTTTCGGGAAGTAGTTTATTACGAGGTAATTAAGCTATTAATAGATAAAACTACTAATAGCTAGAGTATTAACTAGAAGAAGTACCTCTACTATTACTAGGGCGACCTAGTCAGGTATCCAGGGAAGTGCCCAGTTAGCCACTCTAGCTACTACCTAATTAGAAAAAGGAAATAGAACTCAGATATTCCCAGAACTAGCTAGCAGGATAATAATAATAGAGAAGCTAGTAGCGGCTTATTATTATATTACTAAGTTAGAAGCAGAGATATAATAGAGAGAGGATCTAGAGGATTTAGAAGCTCAGATTTGCTATCTTAAGAATATTTGGATACCTATTATAGAATCTATTATATTACTAGCGGTATATTTAGTTCGCAGGGCTCCAAAAACCCGAGAATTACTAATCTATAAGGGAAAGAATATTAAGGAAGCCCAGGATTTCTTTTACTAGGCAGAGCTAAAATAGTATAAAGACAGCGGAATTACCTGGGCTATAGATATAATAAAGGTTATATATTATACTTCCTACTTTAAGAATATAGCCAGGAATATCTGGAAGTATAGGGAGTAATTAGTAGGTATTAATATTACGGATTAGGAGACTTTTATTAAATTTATAAAGGATTCTATCTTGGATCCGGAAAACTATAGTAATAATACCCTTACTAAGTTTAAGGATATAAAATAATAGCCAGGTTAGAGTATCCAAAGCTTTATATCCTATTTAGATAGCCTATTAGATAACTTGGAATATACGGGTTTACTATAAGAGTAGAATAACTTATTTAGTAGCTTAAGGCAAGAGATTTAGGATAAGATTAATTACTAAGGAAATACTTTATAAGAAAGAGAGAAGCTTATTTCTGTGGCTATAAGAATTAAGAATAACTTAAACTAGTCTGCTTAACGGGAATATAATAATAAGCTAATGGGTTAATAAAAGGAAGGAAATTAGAGAAAGGAGAGAGGGAATAATAAAGAGAAATAGAAGAGAAGTATATTCCCGTTATAAGATTCATATAACCGGGATAGTAAAAATATAGTAATAGGGTCTAATATAGTACCTATATTAGGATCTATAAGACTGGGTATAACTTGCTTTACCTACTAAAAGAAGGGTTACTATACTACTATCTGCCTAAATCAGGGAAAACCGACTTACTATAACTATAATAAGTCTGGCTATAAGATATATAAGTACCTAGAACTAAAGAAGCCGGGAAATAAGTATGCCCTATAGTAATTATACTTATTTATATTATAAAGAGTAAGGCTCCTAAAACGAGAATAGTAATTAAGGTTACTATTAAGATAAGAAAAGATAAGCAAAAAGTTAGAGTATTAGTTAACTCGGGTATAGAGGCTAATTATATAAAGAGAAAATTAGCTTTAGATATAGATATTCCGTTAATATTAAGGATAATTCCCTTATTCTTACTAGAGAAAAGAAGGATTTATTTATATAAAGATTATATTCTTAGAATTACTACCGAGAATATACTAGGGAACTAAAGGAAAGCTAATATATATTTTGTATTATATGATTTTAATCTGAACTATATTAATATAATACTTGGATTCCTATAGCTCTACTAAATTAATTCCCTAATTTCTTTTAGGAAAGTAATATAGAGATACCAGATTCGACTATAGAAGATTAAAGTTCTAAATACTAGGAAGTTTACTAAAGTAGTAAAGTATAAGGCATATATTTTTCTATTAATTACCTATCCTATAATAGATAGCTAAAGAATTACTACTATTACTATAAACGGGATAGCTATATTTCCTAGGAAGTATTAGGACTTTCTCTAAATATTCTCTATAGAGACTATAGGTATATTACCTAACTACTATATAATAGAGTATTATATAGATCTGGAACCAGGATCCTAACTACTATATAGTTCTATATATACTTTATTAGAAAGGAAGCTTAAAGTTCTTTGGGAATATCTTAATACTAGCTTAGAGAAGAAGTAGATCTATTATTTTACTAGTCTAGCTAGTACCCTAATTATATTTATTCTAAAGAAAAAAGGCGGCCTATATTTATATATTAATTACCAGAATCTGAATAGAATTACTATTAAGAACCAAATGCTATTATTACTTATTAGTAAGATAATAAATAGGCTTTATAAAGTAAAAATATATATAAAGCTAGACTTAAAGGATACTTATTATTAATTATAAATACGAGAGAGTAATAAGTAGAAGATAGTATTCCGAATATACTATAGATATTTTAAGTACTATATTATATTCTTTAGACTATCTAATATTCTGGTAATATTTCAGGTATATATTAATTATATACTAGTAAGCCTTATAAATATTATTTATATAATCTATCTAGATAATATTTTAATTTATTTAGAAGACCTAGAATAGTATATAATAGTAGTCTAATATATACTTGAGTAGTTATAGTAATACTAGCTCTTTATAAACTTAGTAAAATGCGAGTTTAATATAGAAAAAATAGAGTTTCTGGGATTTATAATTAGCCCAGATAGTATAGAAATAGAGGCTAGCCGGGTTATAGTTATTAGGGAATAGCCGGCCCCAAAAAATAATATCCGAGAAGTCTAAGTATTCCTGGGTTTTACTAACTTTTACTAGAGATTTATTTATAAATACTTTAGAGTAGTAAAAAAATTAACTAATTTACTAAAAACTAGCAGAAAATTACTATATTAGTTTAGCTAGATAAATGAGATAGATAAGGCTTTTAGAAAGCTATAAATTACATTTATAATAGTACTAATTCTTTATTATTTTGACTTAACCTTAAAGATTTATATAGAAATAGATACTTTAGGATTTATAATTATAAGTATAATTTCCTAGCTTTTTAGTAAGGGAGTAGAAGCTAGGTAGTACCCTATTACTTTCTATTTAAAAAAGATAACTATAATTAAAAGCAGGTATAAGATATATAACTCTAAACTCTTGGCTATTATTCTGGTATTCTATACTTAGTAATATTACCTGGTATATATCCGGTATACTATTATTATTAAGATAAATTATAATAACTTGAAATACTTTATAACTAAGAGAAAACTAAATAGTTAATAGATAAGATAAGTAGAGAAGCTAGCTATCTTTAACTTTATCTTAGAATACTAGCCGGGATATAGTAATTCTGCTAATAGGCTATTAAGGAGGCCAGACTTTATAATAGATATAAATAAAGATACTTTACTACTTATACTTTATAATAAGCTATAGAATATAGAATAGAGAACCCTATAAATAATAGTAATAGGATATTATATTATCCCTATAATACTATAATATAAGGCCTAGGAGAGAGGAGGTAGGTACTTCTCGATTAGCGAGATACTAAGGAATTCCGAAGAGGAAATCTATTTTAGTAACGGAGTAATACCGGAAATACTATTATTTAAGCCTATTACTAGTATAACTAGTTATAAATAGTATATATTACAGATTCTAGCTATATGGGTAGCTAGATCCGAAATAGTATATAAGGAAAACAGAGAGATATTACTTAAACTACTATTATAGTACTAAAGGCTTAATTTATTAGTATAATACTAGTAGTATAAATAGTTCTTAAAGAGAACCTTTACTAGAGCTATTAAGACTTAGGAACTTAATATATCTGGGTTATTAAGATATTAGAGCGCTATCTATATACTAAATAAGCCGGCTTTTAAAGAAGAATTACTATAAGCTAATTATAATAATTCTATAGGTGGGCATTTTGGTACTAGTAAGATACTAGAGATTCTCTAGAGAAAATACTTCTAGTAAAATATAAGAAAGAATATAAAAGACTATATTAGAACTTGTCCTATATATTAATGAATTAAGGTAAAGAGATATCTACTATACGGTATACTTAGTTTATTTCTCCTTTTCTTTAAGCCATAGCAAGAAATTACTATAGACTTTATTACGGGGCTACTTTTTTCTAGATTTCATAGTAAAGTATATAATTTTATATTTATTATTATTAATAGATATATGAAAATAGTATAATATATTCTAATTACTAAGGAAGTCTCGGCTCCTAAGCTAGCAAAGCTATTTATATACTATATTATTAAAGACTTTAGTATACCTGCAGGTATAATCTCTAATAAAGAATCTGTTTTTATAAGCAAGTTCTAGTCAAGTCTATATTTCTACTTAAAAATTCAATAATAGCTAAATATAGTATTTTACTCGTAAACTAATAGATAAATAGAGAATCTAAACCAAACTCTAGAATAATACTTGAGGTACTATACTAGTTACTAGTAGGATAACTAGGTAGTAAAGCTTACTCTTATAAAATTCACATATAATAACTTTATATATTTAATAATAGAAATATTTCTATTCTATATCTTATATAGATTCTATTCTAGTATTAAACTATATATTAAGAATAATATTCTAGAAAAAGGGGCGCCGGTAATATAGGAAAGAGTATAAAGAATTTAAATAAAATAGAAAATACTAGAGAAATAATAATAAGAAGTAGTAAATATATAGAAAAAGTACTATAATAAGAAATATATTAATAAGAAGTTTAAGATATATAATAAAGTCATGCTTTATATAAAGAATATTTAATAGCTATAACCTAGTATAAAGCTAGTAAATAAATATCTCGGCCTCTTTAAAGTTCTAGAAATTATAGGAATATATAAATAAGTATATTACTTGAAATTACTACTATTATATTAGATTTATAATATTTTCCATATTTCTTTCTTAGAACTATAATACCCGCAAGCTAGTATTATAATAGAACTAGAGCTAGTCGAGATTAAGGATAAAAAGGAATTCGAGATAGAATTTATTATAGCCTATAAGGAAAGCAAAAAAGAAAGAAAATATCTTATTTATTAGAAGGGCTACTTACCGGCGAATAATATATGGGAATTACTAAGTAATCTAGAGAATATAGCTCAAGAATTATAAGAATACTTGGAAAAGAGTAATATTATAATACTATTAGCTAAACGGAGATATAAAAAATAAATGCTTTTATTAGGAAACTATTAAAAAACTATATATTTATTCTTGGAAAAACTATATGAAAATTATTAAAAACTTTAATTTCTATACCTTATAAATACCCTATCTTTATAACTATTCTCTATTATCCTTATTATTATCCTTATTAGGATTCTCTCGAGAAATAGGTAGTAAATTAGCCTATAAAGCTATTAGCTATTAGTAAGAAATAAGGAAGAAGTAAGCTTATTTAATATTAAAGAATATTAACTATACTATTAAGAGTATTTTGTATTTGTACTAAGCTAGTAAGAATTACTTGACTTATTTCTTGAATTATTAGGGGAATCCATTAGCCTCAAATAATAGCTTTAATACGAGAAGTATATATAGTTTAGTATAGAAAAAAGGCAGTAATAGCTTTCTCTCTTTCGGGCAAAGAATAGAGAAGATACTTATATATATTAATAGCTTAAAGAAGGCGGTTTAATTATACTATATATACTTAAGGAACCTTGGATAGTATTAGAATAAGAAATAAAAGAAGGAATTTATAATTTATAGGATTATACTTCTTGTTCTTAGAGTAATAGTAATTATATACCAAGTAATTATTACTCTTAATATAAGTAAGGTCGGGAAACTTAGTAATATTCTTGGAATATTAAAGATAGTAAGGGCAAATTAAGAATATAGGAGTATTAGCCAAACGGGTAGTAATAGGCTAATAAGTACTAAGAGAAGTATTTATCTTAATAGATAAAGAAGTAAAAGAGGGAATTAGAAAGAGACTTAAATAAGGCTTAAATAAGGCTTAAAGAAGCTTAAAGGAGCTTAAAGAAGGCTTAAAGAAGAAAGGCAAGGGATAAGGAGGAGCTAGGTATAGTATTATAATTAAGGAAAAGGAAGGTTAGTTAGTGGGAAAAGGGAGGCCTTTTTATAATACCCTCTTCCCGAATAGTAATTACGAATTCGGAACTAGCTCTATACCAGGAATACCTAGAAAATTCTAAAGAAGGAATTTACGAATAAACTAGAAGATCGGATTAACTTTTCCAAGCTCTTGGGCCTATAGAGTAATAATTTATTTATAAATAGAGGCTAAGTTGGGATTTATAAACTAATTAGGAGATCGGATAAGCTTTATATCTAATAATATATACTATATTTATATTACCTTTATAAGAGGGAATTACTAGAGGTAATTTGCGAACTAGCTAGGAAAGGTTAGTGAACTATATCCTTAACTCTATTACCTGGTATAATAATAGGGTAATTATAGGGAGTCTTTAGGGAAAGCTAGTAGTTAGGAAAGTTTTAGGGAAATATTTATAAAGCTATTTGCAGTTTTCCCAGGCCTCTTGGGAATAAGGGCCTAGAGAGGGGGTTAATATAATAGGTATACGTAATGGCGTATAGATAGGTATTAGATATTATAGATCTAGTTTCCTATTTTGGGTATAGCTTATAATTAGAATTATATAGATTATATAGGATTTCCTAATTAAGTAAAGGGCTTCATATACCTGGCTAAGTACTAGGGAATATATAGGGAGACACTCCTAGCTCTAGAAGAGGCATTAATTAGTCTCTTATTAGAATTAATTCTTGGAATTAGTTATACTTGCAAGTATTACTCCGTAGCTTACTTACCTTGATTACTTATATATTACCCTGCTATTACGTGCCTTATAATATCCTATATTATCTTATTAAGTTTCTCGAGACTAATAATTTATTTTAGGTAAGATATTAGATACTATACGAGATTAAGTTATAAGATATAATTCCTTTATAGGGGTCTTTAATAAGATATATAATAATTAGTTAGTTAGATTTAATATATAAGATACTTATCTCGAGAGTAATATTACTAATAATAGCCTAACCCGGGCCTTTATCTATATAAGTATTTAATATAACCCTAGTACCCCAAAAGAAGTCTCCCGAGAAATAATAAAGTAACTTCTTATTACGGATCCAGAGATTACTATCCTTAAGTAATAATTTAAAGAATTATATATCCGGATTAAGTAGGAATATAAGTTTATTAATTAAGTATCCCAGAAGATTAGGAAAATATATAAGAAACTTAGCTAGTAGCTTAAGGCTATAATAAAAAGCCTAGAAGACGAGCTTAAGGCCAAATATAGGAAGAACTACTTCTTCTATATTTATAATAAGATAATAAAGAAGTAATTAAACTAGCTACTAAATAAGACTATAGCTAAGGAGGAAGCCAAACCTATTATTAAATATTAGCTTAAAGAACGGATATAATTATAGGTAGTTCTTTATAACCTCTCCAAAGCCCTTAGTCCTCAAGCTATTATTACTCGAAAAATCTATGCCATTAACCTCCAGATTACGCTCGCCTCGTAACAAGAGCTTATGACTCGCTAGCGGCGGTCCGCTCTAGTCTATAAGAATCCTCTCAAGGAAGAATCTCCGGTTCCCGCCCCCGCTCTCACTCCCGCTCTTAATCCCTTCCTACCGGCTAGTAAGTTCCCCCTCGCCTGCGAAAATACGTAGTATATATTTTATATTAGTAACGAGGCGCTCTCGTATAGGCAACGAACGCATAAATTTCGCCGAGTTTCGCATATGTGGGACCATATCGAGAATATTCACTTGCGCCGGGTACTAGTAGAGTAGCGGATTATCTGCCACTATCCTATCTGCAAGGCTAAGGAATTACTACTCAACGGCGTGATGCACTTCAAGAATCACGTGGCGATAGTCCACAAGATCGCCCTCCGCCCTTGAGTACTCGTAATGCGCGCTGCGCACGCTAAAGCCCTGAAACCTGCTGTGCTCAGAAAAGGGAAAGTATAAGCACGTAATGTCAAAAGTTAACACGTGGTAGTTCGCACAACATAGCATGTTGCCGCTAACCCCGCTCGTAGATTAGATAGTTTAGATTAGATAGATAGGCGTAATTCAAGCACGTTACTATTAATAAATAAATCTCTTAATAGAAACACGTGATTATTATTTAATACGGTTGGCATATAAGTAGGATATAGCGCAAAAGGGAAAACAAAAGAAGCAACCATAGTCGAGTTTAAAAACGTAACAATGACCGCATTATTCAGTAATTGACCAACCATAGACTAAGAGAGTGTAAACAGTGGAAAAAGTAAAAAAAAAAAGATCCAGCCCGTTTCCCTGCACTTTTGCGGACCTTCCAATTAGTCAGTCCCTGCCCCCAATTTGTTTAGTCATGCCACCAATCATATCATTACAGGAGTTATGGTTATGAAAATATTGACGTATTAGCATTAAAGACTATAGCTTTCCGTCGTCTTGGGCTTATGATGCAACCGCCTCTTCGTTTCTTGGTAGGTGTTATCGTCGTATTGCGTGGAGGGTTTCCAAGATAGTATACCTCGCGCATATCAAATGAGTAGCCAGGTTTCTTACCTTCTATCTGGTATCCCAGTATTGACACTTCGACTGCTATAGAAGTTTGGTTAACGAAGTTGGTAGCATCGTACCCGGCAGTAGGTACGGTTCCGCCTTTAACCATCATGGAGCCATTATATGTATAGGGGAACGGATCTTTCGCGGTGATGGCTTGTCCAAGGGAGGCCAGAACTTCGTCATCCTCATCGAAAAGGTCGTCCTTTATGGCTGCCAGCGTTGCCTTGGTCCTGAGTATAGAGTATCGATTTGGTTTCGTAAACGTCTTCCACGGACCAGTCTTCAGCAAGTTATCTAGAGCCTTATCTGCGTCGGTGGGGAGTAGAACATTAACTGTCCAATTCTCATATGTGGTTGCGGCGTCCAGAGAGTGGTTTTCAATGTTTCCAACCATCCAAAGCAGCGCCTGTGTTGGCTCGCCGGAAGTCTTATGGCATAGGGTATAGTTTGACGACCCTCTTATCCATGTGTAATTGGGTGGGTTGATATTGGTGACGTTGTTCGGAAATGCTGCAATGGCGTCCGGGCCTCGTGGATGACGTCCGAAATGGTCATCGATTCTTGTTGGAGGATTGCTAACCGTACTCTGATATGCTCGTTGTATATTAGTAGTTAGTGTTAGCGATTCGTTAGAGGTAGTCGTTAGTAAGATAGCATCATTAGAAGGAGACGCCGGGCACGGCGTGGAAGAGTGTCGGGATCGGTCGTGCTTAACAGATGTATGAGTAGATGAAGAGTCGTTTGGGTCACTTGCTGGAACGGCAGTGCTATCGATGTAGGCACTTGATGCTTCGTCGTCATCGATGTTTGGAACTGGGTCTGCAGCGCGTCTGGTTTTCATGATTGCGTGAATTGGGATTCAGTGTCCTTTCTGTGTGATGCGGAAGAGTCCTGGATAATATGTCAGTAGAACGGGTTGTTCATTACCCCTCATCTCAATGCCATGTCCTTGTGACGATACCGGCACAGTAGGCAGGCAAGGGACACTCGGGAGGAGCGCTCTGATCCCATTGTTCTGCATTACCGCGGTTCACGAAAGGCGCCCTTCTGTCTTCCGTCGCTCATGGGTACGCTGCGGAACGTATCGAGTACTAGGACAGAGTCTCAGCATGACAGTTCCCAATCCGGGGGCCGAACGAATGCTTCACGGCTTGCACTTTGGGCAGACCTTGAAGACTGAGGCAACCCTGGCAGTGGTGCTTGGATAAGAGGGTAATGATTCGGTGGAAGTCTGAGGTAATGAGTAAAGGAAGGAATAAGCGGATACCATCATTAATAACAGATGATTATCACACAATAGGCCCCTCAAGAAAATCCCTTGCTGTGGTCCTGTGGAAGCAGAATGGCCCGCCAAATCACTCGTTGTAGCGATACGAATGGCTGCCACCCCACCTGCTCGCCTTGTTACACTAGTTCTAAGAGGAGACCAGTCACACACGGGGACCAGTGATGCAGACAGACTAGTACAGACTGCAGAAATCCACACATGCATGTTTGGTTGGCTGACTCCGCTCACCCAACTGGTCTGCAGGGCGCTGGCACACGAGTCGCACTCTCAATTGGATGACCTGTCAGGCATGCATAGGGTGGGCTGGAGTGGTATCGCTGCAGGTGTGCATGGTCTTTTTAAATGCAGCCGATCCCGCCCTCGGAGTTCCTGCTTCTCGCCCTTTTCACATGTTCCACTTTCTCATCTTCATTACCCTTTCACTTGTGTCTAGATGGTATCCCATTCAATGGAGCAAGAGCCGCGTCCTTCCGAAGAAAGTGAGCTGGCCCTTAACGATGGGCCAAGCGATGATCGTGGGACTGCCACGAAGACAGGCGAGGCTGACAGCCTGAATTTGGACTCGGGCGGATCAATGTCAAAGATCGACACTCTAATCGAGATTTCGAGGAAGATCTTGCAGACGTTGGAGCGCAGACCAGAATTGGCAACTAACGATGTAGAGAACCAAACATTTCATGGCAAAGAGAATGGGCTAAAGACAGCACCCACGCAACCAGCGATCTGGCAAAACCCAAAGTTCGAAGAGCTTGCCAAGGACAGGGAACTTTTTGATATGAATAAACTTTTGCCGCCTTATTCTCAACAACGCTTGCACGATTTCACATGGCTGGACAAGGAAATTGAACAAGCCAAAGCGTCATCAAGGGACGGATCCAGCCCAAATTTCACTCAAATCGTCCAGCTGTGTAAACAATTGAAATCGGACGGCGAGGAGTTGCTATATGAGGTCGATGATGATGAGAAAGAGTGGTTCGTGGAGCGAATTGTCTGGTTGCTTACTGAATCATTCAAGCTGGACCCAAATGAACGCAGGAGGATGGCATTAGAAAAAATCGGGGACCCAGAATATCCATTGGAACGACTTGGCACTTATGACACGACAGATTCAATCTTCCTCAAGCTCCATGCCTATTTCCGCTTCACCATCGCCCGGATTGAACTTTCGCCGAGCTACGATGGGAAACAGATACGCCGGGTCATCGTGTCATGCATCCTCGCAATATTTAACTGGACTCCTGATAATGGAACCCACTCTCAAGAACCTATCCCGGTGGGAGAAGTACTTCTGCAATGCTACCATGACGGCAGTCTCCAGTCACCTGAAAATTCGGGCGGAGACACTCAACCGTGGATAAACGAGAGCCATATTACGATTGTTGGAGACGCTTTTGGAGCCTTAAACTGTACCAATGCCAACGGACAATTTAACTACTTCTTTGCCAAAGACCAGAATCCTTTGGAGTTACTTTCTTGCTCTCCACAATCCTTATTCTTCTTGAAGTCGAGCCGCATGGAAACCAAAATCAATACGCCAGAGGAGCTTTATGATCGAGATGCTGCAAAAGACTTTCAAACAGTTGATCTCAATGTTGGAAAGCTAATGGAAATCGCAAATCTAACTATACGTTGGGATTTCTTTCATGAGAACCATCTTGTCCTTGATAAGGAAGCCAATGTGTTGCGAGTGGCATGGTTTTCCATACCCCCAGGTGGATGGACTGCATATCGGTATCAGTAAGTAAGTACACTGGAAAGCATGCCATGGCTACTAATACCGTCTAGGCATGTTGCGAAGACTCCGGATGACGGAAAAGACGCACTAAGGTTTAAGACGATGGCCACCGAAATATATCGTACTTGGGCTATTCTATTTGCTGGCAAAGATGTTGGTAAAAAGAGACAGCTCTACTACCGTGCACTGCGTTCTTCTCCTTTCTCTATTTTCCGATCTGAGGCTTTAAAAAACCGCCACAAGCGCAGTATCCTTTGGGGATGGCGTGGTAGACACTCCTGGACCGACCACGCATTTAGGGAGACGGCGCTTCACCTTGGTGAGATCCCGTACCTAGGGATGAGCTCTTACGATTGGAACCAAAAACGTTTCGTCCAGAATCTTGCCAAGAACCCCGTCCTCTCGTATGCCGACTTCCCCATCTATGGCGAACGACTGCGGGTCCTCAGAGCCTACATTGATAATCGGCCACCACTAACCCTGAGACAGCTACGAAAGGACAAGCGTAACACTCTCGGCTACTGGACCCTCTGGGCGGCTGTGATCGCGGGTTCCTTGACGGTGTTTCTCGCCTTGTCGACGTTGATGATCTCCATTGCGCAGACCGTGGCTGCATACAAGGTGCTGGATTTGCCGCCATCGAGACGTGGCGGATCAGCATCTGGGTAGGCCTTCTTAGGATCTTGACTCGTGGGCTGCGGTTTTCTCGACATATGTAGGGTTAATGAATGGCTTAGATATAGCTTGGATTTCGAATTTTGGACGGAGCGTACTGTGCAAGGTCGAAAATTCCAGAGATATTTCCTACTCCGAGAGCCTCCGGCTATGAACTCTGCATTTTCAAGTTTTATTTTATGATTATTTACTCAATGTAGTTCGCTTTTCCTGAGCTTACTGGATGCAGCTTGCCCTATTACTATTATTAATTAGATGCAGCTCCTTTCTACTGGGAGTGCCCAAAGGTTCCCTAAGCTTTAGATTACACGTGAACTCTATAGAATTATAATTGCATTCATAGACAAGTAATTATTTGATATCGAGAATTGTATAGCAGGGCGTTGAGTAATGTGTTCTGTCTTACTGCTGATTATGTCGAATATTTAGAAGAGAGCCAGCCGCGATGTATTACAGAAGTACTAATACATCCCTTCAGGGCGGTGTTAACGCTGTAAATGCTCAAGCCCGATGTAGTAGTACTTCCTCCGCTTCGCAAAAGTTATAATTAAATCAAAACGTGACGTAGAAGCATACAAATAATTATATTTGACACACCAAAGATACCAAAGATAGATCTACCTTGAAATTATATTCTTAAAAGATATCGAGCTGCATCTAGTAGATTAAGAGACTTGTAGCTTAACTGTGTATCCCTCGCGCTCGTGGTGATCTGGGCTCCCAAGGCAGATAATATTGTCACGGATCTCGGGCGGGATAAAGTCGTCACTCCAAGTGTCTATCATTTGGTGATTGATGGTGAGGTCGTGATATAGATGGTTGTGCTGGACCAGATATTGCAAAGCCGCTAGAACCTTATCCTTCCGAACTTGCAGGAATGGCTTAAGATCCGCATCTACCGGGGCACGATTCCCCAGCCAGAAAACCTTGATAAGGTTGTCTAGTTTCAGTTCAGGACTAGGTAGGATCTGGAGAAGCGGTCCCGGGTCTTGTGGGATGACGATGATATGGCCTCGCAGCGCTTTATAATTAATCGGAGATAGATGGCCCCCTGGCCGCATTTTGATGATAGTGCCAATTGGATGACATTTCGCAATAAGACACTCCTCAACCGGTGTGAGATCATCTAATGCAACCGGATAATGCTGGCACATAATAACATTGACGAGGTTCTTCGCCGAGAACTTAGGAACAGTGCCGAGACTGAGGGCCGTGTGACATTGGAAACAAAAATCCCATATATTCCCGTGTCGGCCGCAGATGTCGAGGCCACCTTGTAAAGGTCGTACGAAATTGTCCTTATCAGAGATTTCATAGACATCTGTAGTAGGGACGAGCTTGCCGCAAGAACAGCACACAGATCTCTTGGACGCGGTTGACATTTCATGCTCATATTTACTAACAGAAGTTCGAATATGTGACGAGGAAATCTCTCGAGGAAATGCGTCTGATGCAGTCTCTTGGAGCTTGAACTCGTCTTCTAGGAAGTTCAAAGCAACTCTGACAGCTTCTTGTGGTGGTGTATTAAGTAGTGTCTTTGTCTGAGTACGGATCTTTACATGGCGAGGCGAAGCAGGATTTGCCGATGAAGAATGGCTTCTGTGTGGCCGCTTTCTTTTGTTTGGTAGAATACTTGGTAAGTGATCTGTAGAGGAGATCTGGGAAAGGTCAAAGACTGATGTTGGTTGAGATGGGCTTCTTCGTAGGCGTGGCTCCAAGATCTGAGAGCGATTGCCTTCCGGCACAACGGGTGACGACAGGTCTTCGTAGTCTAGGGACTTCATCGGTTCTAGAGTATTTAGGAACGGATCAAAGTCAGACGGTAGTCTAGGAGGGCCTTCCCGCTCGCTTGATCTGAAGTCTCCATGGCGGATAGCAGTAGGCGGGGAGTAACTGTGTAACACAAGCCGGGTTGGCTCCAAATGCAGCGAATTATGAAAGGGAGTAAAGAAAGATGCTTTTTTGCCTTAAGGGTGAGTTGGATGTCTCTTGTAATCGGTTTGATACTTGTGACTGAGGGGTTCTACTTCCCGGTGACGTGTTAGGAGCCACTAGCCGATGGCAATAGGCTGCTTGATACGCCCGACTGCTTTCCTACGCAGCATTAGCAGGGTTAGAAAATGGGTGATGGCTATAGAGACGGACGTTGCATGATAGGCACATCAGGAGGCGTGTGCCATCTCTTTTAAACCCGAACTTATCGATGGGCTGAGCACCTTTGGCAGCACAAGCCAACCGACCACACCTAAACATAGGAGAATCCATAGGCTTATGTTCTGCACGCGGTAAGGGGGATGTTATGCCAGCCACGGGGCGTGTCAAAGAAGGCTGCGATTTAGATGAAAGAGCAAGGTATAGAAATATCACGGCCATTTTGCGATAAGATGTTTGAAGATAAGGTAGTGCTGCGCGACTAGTACAGCTTGTGGAAGGAATTTTAACCGGTCGAATATCGTCCCATCAGTTTAGGTTTGATTTATTTGGGTTTCATCTGTTTAGGTTTCCTTTGTCAGTCTTTGTAATATGCGGGGAAGCAGTAAAGTTACCTTCGGTTCTATTATGGGAGGATGATCCTAGGAGAATTGAGGCCTCGCGGAGACGAGAGCGACGGATATCAGGCATGTGATCACGTGGGAAATACAACATGCCCAACCCCAATTCGGACGTCACAGCAGCCAATCCGCGAGGATCCTCACGCAGCCAATTAGCACGAGGCTTGGCGAAGAGATTTCTGGTGCGAATCGCCGCATTTTCGGGCCCCTGTCCTCGCGCGCTGGTTAGTCATCCCTTCCACTTCGTTTCAGGGCATTCCCTAGTACGTTTGCCATTGGGAACTATGCAGACCGTAATTCAGCTCAGGCTGTGGCTTGCATAGACACTTGTAGGCGTTCAGGGTATGTGTTGAAGGCTTGTAAACAGCTGTACTATCTAACACTGTACCAGAAAACTCGATGGTGCAACTAAAATCCTGCCAAGTCACTATCTTCTACAACCCATACCTCAAACTCGGTCTCCTGCGGCCGCTTTGCTACGGCCTCCTTAAATAGGTAACTCAGCCTTCTCTTCAAATTCAACCACTGTCTCTCATCGTCGCTTTGGTTCACGAGTCGAAGGTAATCTGCGAAGGCGACTATGAAGGTGAGCTTCTGTAACAAGCCTGTATTGAGCCCAGATCGTTTCGAAAATATCGCAAAGAATTCTAGGACTGTGGCTTCCTTGAACTCTCTTGATGGAAGGGGGTTCTGGAAGTCGATTTCGCCGTCGGTCGTCTGTAGAAATAACTTAATTTTAGGTGGTTCACAAGAGGCTGATTAGTTAACCCCGTACGATGTGGTTATAGGGGACTGTACGGCCTGTGAATTCTCGAGAGTATCTGAGCCCTCAATACCAAAGGAAGGTAGGCCGTACGACTTGCTCGCGGGCGGTGGAATATGGCCGGGTCTTCCGATGTAATTAGTAGGAAAACCTTTTGAATCTTCGGAATAGCGTTTAACTTCGCCAGCGGAAACGAGCTGCAACGATCCCGTTAATAGCTGGTGTGTTGCGATTAGGAGGATCTATATAAACATTATTGCGTTCAGACATACGGACAAGGGCCTGCAAACTCTCGGGACTCGTATATGCGGTAGGTTCTCTAGCGCTTCCAACGTCTGTCGCATCTAGGATAATGACTTCTATAAAGCCATTACGAGAGGTAGATATACGCTCTCCGTTCTGGTTTAAAGTACCTATTAGCTTACTATATATATACGTTCTTTGGCGTTTCTTGGAGGTAGGGCGGTATACTGGCTTACCGGCTCTTTTGCTAGGACTCTCGCTCTAGTTCGTCAAATTAGTAGTTACTTCGAAACGACGAGCTATTTGAATAAGAGACCTACTAATGCCTCTCTTTGGGCTAGCCATATTATTTATCGCGATAAGAACTGGGAAATATTCCGAACTTTCTAGGGGCAATAAGTGACCTCTGCGGACGCTTTCTCTCCGGATACCTTATCTCCACAAATATATACGTATCCAAAACCGGTATAGTCTTCCTTAATATATCCCGTATTACTTATTATTACTCGTTAAATTATGTTTATTCTTTTAATAATAACAAAAATAAAGAATAACTCTATATAATTAAGAATATTAAAGCAGGCAATAAGATTACTATTTACTATAGGGCTAGTATAAGTATTTCTCTTAACTAGTATTATATATAGCTAAAGCTTGAGCAAGGTTTTAACTACCTTTGCGAGCTCTATAATAAGGCTAGAGATAAGTTAGTAAATAATATAAAAAGATTAAAGCGAATTAATTAGCTTATCTATATTATTAGGTATTCTTTAGAATCCGGTAATCTTGAGAACCCGTCCCTTAAACTACTTAAGAAATATCTTTTTACTACTAATATACTTTAAGAAAGAAGGAATTAGAAATAATATAAAGTGTTACGGTTGTTACGATATACGGTACTAGTAGGGGTTAGACTAGAGCTAGAGAGGCATCTGGCATCTGAGCGAGGCATCTGTAGTCACCTGATCGTTGCACGTGACCCCGAGCTTAAGCTAGCACGTGGGCCCGTGCGTAGCTCGCGATTATTTAGATCCGAGGCTCCTTCGGGATCCTCTTCTCTCTTTAGCTTTGAATCGTCGAAATAGAGACAGTCTAACCACGCCTTCCAGGCCCTAGATCTTGTGCTCGTGACATAAAGTATAATACTATAGAGATATATATAATATTATAGCTTACTATAGTAATACTATATAAGTAAAGGAATTTGCCGAATTATATTTTTAAATATAAAGAAACTATTTTAGAAAGAATAATAACGAGTTTATAGAGGCAAAATAGTTAGCTAAGGCTAATATAAAAGACAGAAAGTCTTTTAATATAAAGTAGCAGAATATGTTATTTCTTACTAATATTACTATTTATTAAGAAAAAGTTTTACTTTGGATACTAGATTATAATAATTATTAGAATAGGCAAGCTTAGGTATTATTAAGGTAATCTTACTTCTATTATATATAATTAGTAGTATTTTTCTCGAGTAGCTCTATTTTCTTGCTATTTAAGGCTATAGAGAAATAGTAAGTACTTATATATAATATAAATAGCTAGATAAAGGCAAGCCTATATTTACTTCTCAGACTAGAGTTTAATATTATTAATATACTTTTGCCTTTTTCTAAGTAATTTGACTAACTAAGGAAATTACTTTCTTATTTATAGTTTCTCTATTATAATACCCGATTCTTTCTGTTTTAGTAATAAGAGTAACTACTTTAGATCTCGAGATTTACTTTTTAATTTGGTATTTGGCTACTTTATAACTAATTCTTTATCCGAATCCGAAATAAAACTATTATTCTTCTCGTACTTAGTATAAGATTTATAGTCTTTATACTCTTTTATTAACTTGAGTAATATTAAGACTTCCTCGAATTTTGTTTTAATTATTTCTTTAGTTATCTTTCCTCAATTAACCTTTAATTAGATAAAGGTAATAAAAATAGTAAATATTATAATAGTTAAGGAAATAATCTCTCTAATACCTAGATTTATAAGCTAGTATATTCCGTATTATTCGTAATTTGACTTACTTAACTATATCCTAATATATATTACTAGATATATATTATTTTACTAGTACTATTAGAAGTAATTAATAAGTAAAGCAAATAAGTTTATTAGAAATAATAATAATATAAAATTAATTATAATAATTATAAATCCGATAATAATAGTACTAAGTATTATACTATTATATAATTTAATAAGTACGGCTTCTAAGGCTTTAAGGCTAGTATATTTGGATTTCAAGTCTAGCTATATAAGTATTTACTTTTTAACTCTTTCTATATCTTTATCTAGTTTCCTAATACGCTTTTTAATTTATAGTAGCTAGCTATTAGATTAATTAATAATAGTACTCAGTTCTACTCTTACTACTACTTTAGCTCTATCTAAGTTATCTTAATTAGATTTATCTAAATAAGAGGTTTTATTAGGCCCTAAAGCTAAAGCAAATATTAATTACTGTTTTTACTTTCTATATTAAGATAGGCTCGGATTTTTAATTATCTAGCTAATTCCTATATTAAATCTATTAATATCTTACTATATTTTATTTATATTATCTTTATAAAATGCTTTCCAAACTTCCTCTTACTAGCTAACTATATTCCTGATTATTACTAGCTTATCTCTCATATTATAAATATTAAAAACAAATTCTCTTTCTCTCTTAATATAAATAATTTCTATATTTTTATTTATATACTTATATATCTCTTCTAAAACCGCTATAATTTCTTTCTTAAATAAGATAAATAGTAATTACTCGAGCCTAGTATTATAGAGTTATTTAATAGAATTTATATAGATTAATATAATAATAGTAGCTAGTAAAAGTCTATTAATATAATCTTTTGTAGCCTGACTTAAGGCACCGAATTACTATATTAGAATTAAGTAAAAATTCTTATTTAAAAACTTTTCTAGTAATACTATTATATAAAAGTTATTAATACTTTATATTTATAGCTAAAGTATTATAAGAATTCGCTAGTTCTTATATTTTATTACTCTTTTCTAACTAATTACTTGAGTTTTATTTCTTTTAAATAATTTTTCCGTTTCTAGCCTAGTATAGTAAGATTTATCTAATATATATAGTTTATAAATAATAAATAAATAATTAAAAGATATCTCATACTTAGCCCGGAGTTTATAGGCTATTTTAGACGAATTAGTATACTCGGGTAGTCTAAATAGAAACTAATAAGATATCTTTTCTTCTAAAGCTTAGTATTAGTATATATTATTAAGATAATCTTATTTTTATTATATATAATAAAGAATATTTTTCTCGAGTAGTTTTTTCTTTTTACTATTTAAGACTATAGATCTCGTATTTAAATTAAAATAAGGCAACTATATATATCTTAGAATATAGATAATTAAAAGAACCAAATACTACTAACTTATTATTATAGATTATATTTTAAAAGTAGCCTTTTAATATATATTAAAAGAAGGCTCTTGAAATATTAGCTTTAAGCCTATATTTTGTCTAGTTATTTCTATTTAAAGGAAGCTCTGGAACTAAAACTATAAGACTCTTATTATTATAGACTTATTATATACTATTTTATAATAGATTTATATAATTATTATCTTTAAATAAATATTAGCTTAAGTAATATATATAGAGTACTGAGATTTATTATAAATATAAAATCCTATTATTATAATTAGTATAAAACTATTTTCCTATATTCGAATATATATTATTATTATAAATAAAGTATTATATAATATTCTAGGCTAGCCGAAATATTAAAGAACTATTATTAAACTTAAATAGTTTTATATCCGAGTTTTTTCTGGCCTATACTAGTTTATAGACCGTTTAGTATAAGGGTATTAGATCTTTTAATAAAGAGAGAGACTATATATTTCTATAGTATTATTTCTAGTTAATCTCGAATATAATATATAATAGAATTAATAAATAAGCTAGTTTAAATAAGGCTTCCCCTAACTTGTCTTATTATATAATATTAATCTATCTTTTCTTAAAGAAATCAAATATATTTATTAGATTATATTATTTATAATACTTAGCTATATAATAAGCTAAAAACTCGCCGACCCGGAATTTATAATAAAAGTTAATAAATCTGTATTCTATTATAGTTTTAAAAATTAGAAAAGTAGTAATACTAGGCCATTTTCTAATATTTATAGCTACTAGATTATAGATAATATATATCTAATTATTCTCGAGTAAATATCTTATATCTTTAATATCTAATATCTAATTAATAGCAAATTAAAAAAATAGATTTACTTGCCTTATTTATTATTATCTTATTTATTTTCTTTTCTATAAGCTTTTATATAATATATTATAACTTATCTAGATAAGAAAACTCTATTATAATAATAATATATAGTACCGAATTATTTTTATTATTCTTATAGCTCCGAATATTATTCTCAGATATTCTTTCTAAAATATACTTAATTATATTAGTTCTTTTAGATTAGATAACTGTAAATAGAAGTAATATTATTTCTTATCTATATATAGTATTAATATTAGTATATAATGAATTAAAAAGATAGTTCTCAAATATCTTTTATATATTATCTAGATTATTATAAGCTCGCTTAATAGTAAAAGAATCTAGTTCTTAAAATTATTAATAACTAAAGTAATTAAAGTAAAGACTAATTAATATCTTTTTATATTTAGCTTTTATTAGTTCTATAAGTATCTAAATCCGTGACTTCCCTATTATAAATATAGTTAGCTTCTAGTAAAACTATATTAGAAATAATTAAAAATATAGAAATTAATAAAGAAGTATTAATATTATATTATAATAAATAGAGCTAGTAATTAATTAAATATCTAAAAGAAATAAATATAAAAGCCTATATATATATTTAAGCTTATTATAGTAATATTATATTTAAAAACAACTAGAGAAAAGGAAAATACAGGTTAAATATAATAGAAATATACTAATTTAAAAGCTCTTTAGCTTTACTAAAAAAGCAATATTTTAATAAGATATATATATATATATTTTCTATAAATATTACTAGAAAGCGCTTTTTAGTAGCTATAGCTATAAATAAAAACATATTATATAGCCGGATAAATACTATACCTATACTAGCTAGTATTTATTAGTATTATATATATAGAATATATCTAGTATTTAGATACTAATAAGTAAAGTTATCTAATATATCTAGGAATAGTTAAATATATCCTATAATTTTATTATAAGTAAAAGATTACTAAGGAAATAGCCCTAGTAAGCCTATAAAAGAGCCTAGAAATTAGCGAATTAATTCCTAAAACTTGTTTCTTAGTATACCTTATAAGACTAATAGATTAA